TCTGGGATTAGTGATTACTGGATCTCTCAGTGTTAGCAGCACTTCTGCTCTGTGATCTGGGGAGCAGAGCAAGCTGCAGGTCGGTCTGTCCAGCTCCTCTCTAGACTGGTGTCTGAATGCTGTGGCTCATTTTTTCCAGAGATAATGGTTGCATTGTCCGTGGTTAGGGGCTTTGAAAGAATATAATGTATAATTGTCTGTCTCATTAAATTGTGGGGTTTTTGTAAAAGGTGCTACCTGACGGCGCCTGTCATCCGTAGGAGGAGATGCACCGTACACAGTCTATGATGAAGTCACACCATCGGTGTGAAAGCCCACCGTCGGCTCTGTGCCAGCGTGGTTCAGTCTGGAGCTGAAGGGTCAGACAAATGGGGGCCAGTTGTGTTCTGGAACAGTCCATGTTCCAGCTTGTCCATAAGCTGTGCTCATTAGTGCTGATAAGTGGCTCGTATTGGGGTAGTGAAGGTCTGGAAACCATCTGGGTTTGGCTCCCAGTCGCCTGACACTGGACAGCGTGCTTCTAGGTGGCTGATGGAAACAGCTTTCCACCCCAGGAGACAGCTGGTAGGTGTTAATCGGGTAATGGAATGGATCATGTTAAATCACTGAGCCAGGAGAAGTGTTTTTTAAACGTTATTTGCCATTTTGTGGCCTCTCTGTGCTTCAGGAGCACTTGCTGCGATGCCAGGTTATTTTTCTGCGGTGGGATCACGAGCAGTAAATGATGCGATATCCCTTTTGTGTTCCTGAGACAGCCAGTACACATCCTGATCTCACTTGCTGCACTGAAGAGTAGATTTACAACGGCGTCGTGAGCATAAAACAAATGATCGGAGGATTCACAGGCAGACTCCTGCAGCAGACGAGCATACGTAGTAGCGAAACTTAGGGGTTTTTTTTGTTTTGTTTTGAAATTGTCTGGCTTGATTAATGTGGCCTGATGTATGCCAAGCTGTTCAGCATAAACTCAGCCGTATTTTCCCCTTCCCACATCTCCCCTTCTCATCCTTCATTTCTTTCTGAATGGCTTCTTACGTAAAGCAGTAGCTGCAAAGAATTCACAGTAACAAACATCCTCCATAAATATATTTTATTTCCTGTGTTCCCTTGTGCGTTGTCCTGATTGTAAACTTGGGCTTCATGTAGAATAAAGATCTCGGACCCAAGGAAGGTGACAGTGTCCCCTGCTAGCAGTGCCGTGGCCTCGGCACCCATCCGCCTCCCCAGTGCCCTTGTGGGGCGGGTGGGGAGGACGTGGGGGTTGGTCCGTGGAGGAGCCAGGCAGAGGTTTGTGCTGGGTCCGGTGCCTGTGGTCGGTCCGTCAGTCTGTTTCGGGAGTGAAGAAGATGTGTCTGAGCCTTGGGCCAAGGATGGAGCAAACCCCCTTTCTGCCCTGTGTAAGAGACACTTCTCAGAGAGAACTCAGCGAGGTTCTTAAATTAAACCATGCCTTAGGAGGATTTCCCCAGCCTCTCAAAACGCACAGAGTTTGGTGAGCGTGATTTAATGGGATGTAGTCAAGCATGATTAATGGGACATAAAATGCCTCTTACTCTGATATCCCATTGATCTAAATGAGAGGCACAACTGTAAGGGATCTGTTTCTTTTTGCTATTGATTCACGATATTTTGATATACATCCTCCAAGCGGCTGCCAGCCTGCGTTTAACTGAAGAGAGCAGGAGTTAGTGGGGAGGTGTCATGGTGTAACCTGCGCTGATGAGTTTACAGGTGTTGGCGAGTGAGTACCGTGCTGTGCTTCACCAGGCTCGTGTTTCTCACCTAGCAAAGAGAGGGCCGTGAGGGATCAACTGCACTCCGCTGCAGTTTTCTCCCATCACAGGTATTTTGGGATGTGGAAGGCCAGGTGTTGCCCTTCTGTGAGCTGGCACGGTGCCGCCGTCGTGCCGCTCTGCCGTGGGTCCCGTACAGATGTGTGCCTGATGTGTGGCGGGAGAAGGTTCTGAACGGCTTTTTGGTGATGATAGAAAACTGAAAGTGGGCAAATTTAAATTTACAATGAGGTGCTGGTCTTTAACCCTGGGGGTAACTAATCACTGGCACTGACAGGAATGTATTGTGGTGGTTTCTCCATTGTATTTCACTTAAAAGTTTTCAAGCGTCTGCAGTGTTCCCATGGAAATCCAGCTTACTGGACCGAGACTTGCTTGTGGGCTGACCAGATACAGTGTGAGTTGAGGGCTGGAAATAAAACCAGAGATTCTCTTCCTAGAAGACGTGAGGAGCTGCAAAGACTTTCCAGCCTACGTAAGAAATAGACTTGCTTTGGCGTTAATTCAGGTTCTAGAAAAGCTTGGCAAAAATTTCAGCATAACAGGTTTATTCCTAGAGCTACTCGTCTCCCATGTGCTACCTAGCCTCAGGCTCCCCCGAGAACCTTCTTGGATATCCCATTTATCTCATTAATTGCTAATCCCCAAAGAGACCAGCCCGCGGTCTGGGCTAGGGACTCCAGCTGTGCTAGAATCCTGTTCTAGCCCCGTGCGTCCCCTTTTTGGATAATTAATGAGTCTCAAATCCTGAATTTAGAAGTATTTTGGCCTCAGATCCGAATTTTGAAGGTGCTATCTGGCAAGCAGACAAATGCTTTCTTGGTCAGAGGGGGACAATGTGTCTCCTGTGTGGTTTGATGGCCCAACAGTCAAACCTCTGTGCCTCCACCTGTACATGGTCTGAACGGTAAGGCTGAACCACAGAGTTCAGATCCATCCCTTTTGTGTTTAAAATGCTTAAAATAAATAAAACAAAAAGTTCCTGCTGTTTCTAGTTCTCCACTTGTCCTTCTAATTACATTTGAGCTCAAGCATGTTGGGTTTTCTTTTCCCCTTTTTCCCCTCCCTGGCCCCAGGAGAGCCCAGTAGCCCCAGGTCTTTTCCTCCATGCACACACGAGTGTTTGTGGGCGTGTAGCTGGTCGGTAATAGACGGCTGCGGTGGAGCCCCGAGGGCTGGAGTCCAACAGCATGTGGTTGTGGGCAGAGAACATCCCTCACCCTGGCTGCTGGAGAGAGCCTGTGCGAGGAGGACTGACAAAGTTGAGGTTAATTTGTTTTTCAGTTGCTGCCTTTCCCCACTCCTGTGGTTGCAACCAAGCCACCGGAGAGCTTGGTGTTTATGCAGAGCCTTTGCCTCCCCCCCGCCTACCTTTGGAGAATTGCAGCTTTGTGCGTATGGACGACGCGGGTATTTGACATGCCCACTCCTACCTCGGACTTAGCTCTTCTCCTCATGTTTGTGCCTGTCCTGAGCTGTTGTGGAAGGAGAACCATGGTAGGAGTGGTGAAGGGCAAATGCGAATGAGCAGGAGATGAACCTCGGAGGTCTCGGTTTCGATTTTGCTCCAGACCTCTTTGATCACAAACCGAGCTCTTTATCCCCCTGAAGCACGGCCCCAGGGAAGGCTTCCCAGAGGTGTGAGATGATTAAAAGGAAATACTGCTCCTCTGACCACCTTCTCTTTAGCATAGCAGGAATCGGCATATATCAAGAGCAGGTTTTTAATCTCGGAGTCAGTTTAGTTTGACTTTCATGGCAGGATTTCAGGGTCAATTGTCATTTTACCCCATCACAACTTAATTTGTTTTAAAGAGAGATCTTCCTTTTGGAAGATCCTTTTTCAGCACTCGCTGTGTTCCCTTTTGTAGAGAGCTTGGCTTTCTTTAGGGTAGGCAATAGTTAAATTAAGAAATACAACCTTGTTTTTGTCCAGGATCCTTGTTTAACTAAAGAAGATTCATAAAGGACCGTGTTCCTGTGAAAATCTTTGTCTCCCGAGTCTCATTTTGGAGTCTGAAAATGCCTGCTGTTGCCTAAGAAACACCCGATACAATTAAATACAGAGTCTTTGTTGGGGAGTCAATGATGCCGGGATGTCGTTGGTGTGTTGGGTCTTTCTTTGCTTATCTGGGCTGGATTTACTCGGTAAACGCTCGTTGTGATTCTGCCAACACTGCTAATGTTGCATGTCTAATCTGTCATGAATGCGGAGAGGGAGCGGGAAGGCTCGTTTTCTTCTTCCCTCGCACGTAGTTTTTTTAAGCTGGAGAGTTTGATTAAATTGTTTGAAGTAGTTAAAGATCGCCTGTTTGCTTTCTGCAAATACTTTATGAAGATTAGGTTTCTGGTTAGGATAAAGCGCGTGACGTTAAAGCAACATCTGTATCTCGTTGGGAACAATGGGTGCTCCTTGGAGAGACCTCTTCCACTTTGAGCTATGCGAGTTCTGCTGTGTGTGTCCGTGGTCTTGAGGTCTGGGGTATCGGTGTGACAGGAGCCTGTTGCTGGCTGGGGATGGAGCTGGCTGGTAGGTGACCTGGTTGCTCCTGACACCCCTGTCCTGCTCTGATGCACAGAAATGTGCCTGAGCAGATGCCCAGCCGCAAATTACAGCAATTACTTCTGAAACCCCGAGAGATGATGGCAAGTTTTTGTTTTTGTGAAGCACAAAGACACCAGTTCGTGGCAGCACTCTGTTGGGGTACTTCAGACAGGAATGTGTTCAGAATTATCTACAAAGAGAGCTAGAACATTTATTAAGACTATTTCACCAAGGGTCATTTCATATTCATTTAGTACCAAAGCAAATGGGAAGAAAATTCACAAGTGCCATTTAAGAACAAAGCTCATTTCTGAGCACCTATTAATCTTAGAATAGCAATGTGGAGCTTCACTTCAAATGGGGAAGCCAAAGCCATTCTCTCCCTTCTGGAGGCTGCTTCTTGTTCCACACCAGACACACAAACACAACCTTGGTGAAGTGAGCTCTGGGTTTACATCCTGCCCTTGGTGCTCTCAGGGCCCAGAGGATGCTCTGTCGCTGCTGTCTCTTCCCAGACAGCCCTGCTGGAATACACACGGGAGCTGTAGTGCGTGGCCGTGCAAAGCCGTGGGATGTCAGCCGTCATTTTGCACCCCGACTCAAAGCGGTACCCTGTGTGCTCTGCTGACTCTCTCTCTCTCTCTCTGCCCTTCATACTACAGGTGTAAAGAGCTGAAATATGGCAAGGACCTACCCCAGATCTCCATCATCTTCATCTTCGTGAACGAAGCACTGTCGGTTATCCTGCGGTCGGTGCACAGCGCTGTTAATCACACGCCAGCTCACCTCCTGAAGGAGATCATCCTCGTGGACGACAACAGCGATGAAGGTTAGCAGCGCTGGGATCTCGGATCTCCGCAGCGTCAGGAGGGTGTTTAGTTTCCTAAAATCTCACGGGGGAGTCGCGCTTCTGTGGGAGTGGTGACACTGCTGGGGGGCACACGGTATGAGGTGGATGCACAGGCTGGCACACCAGTTTTCTCCAGCTTCTGTAGCAAAAAAGGAACAGGATCAAACCATAGTTAAAATCTGAGACAATTATTGATTGAAAGTGTAGCTGAAAGCTAGAAGGCTAAAGGAAACTAGAGAGCACTCTTACCTTGTCCTCACAGCATCATCCAGAAGTTCTGATTTCAGGTGTTTTCTCTCTGTGTGCCTCAGTTTCCCTATCTGTAAAATAAAGTCCCAGACTTTATAAATGTCTGGGACCCTGCAGAGGCTCTCCTTCCTCTCATGGCATGTTTGTGATATGAGCAGGGTAAGGAAAGAGGAAGAAGAGGAAACAAGCACACCCAACCTGCTCAGGTCAGGCCGCAACAAAACGCGGAGGGGGACGCTGGGTGACACACTCGTGTAGTGTGGTTTAACCTGCTCTCAGTCACTGTTGCAGTACCTTCCCTTCTGGCTTTTGATAACAAAGCTGCAGGATGGCGTTTCATGTGGAAGCATTTTCGGGCTCAGATGCTTCCAAGATTTGTTTTTCCCAACATACGGTTGGATAACGTCCTTAGGGTTGTTAAAATCTTTGTGAAGAACAGCAAATGATTAAGTTACTTTGATTGCTGCCTTCTTTATTTGTACTGTATGCTTTTAATGTTATTTTTAAAAAATAATAGACGTGTGCTGTGCATGCTGTGATAGATCAGGGAGGGTGCGGGACGTGGAGAGCTCGTTTCCAGAGGGAGCTGAGCGGCTGCTCGTCTGTCTGCTGTGAGATGAGCTGGTGTACAGCGAGCTACTCAAGCCTGTAAAAATAGGCACTCCAATACCTCGGTAATGAGCACCATAGAAAGCTGATGAATTATAATTACCAGTAAAAGAAACAGGAGGGCAGCTCCTCAGCTGATGGAAATCACAGCAGCTCTAGTGTGAAAGCTGGGATGAGGTGCGCTGGTGAAGCCATGGGATTTTAGAGCTGGGACTAGAGAAGAGAAAGTGCAGGTGATCTGCTGCTGCAGTATGTAGAGGGTCTGAAATACCAAAATGAGATGCTGCTTCTCCAAATGTTACCATATCAATGGGGTGAAGAGAAGAACACTCTGTAAAAGAGAACCCATTGGTAATAATGATTGAGCTTCTCTACCAGGCAAAAAGAAATCTGTTTCTAAACAGCCTCTACCCATCGTTCAGCGTGCAGCACCGAGGCTGATACCGAGTCGAGCACTCTGGAGACGTTATTGAAAGGCACATGACAATGACATGAATCCTTTCAAAAAGCATCGCCTCCCCCAGTAAGCTGAGACTGCAGCTGGCAGCGAGGATGCAGAATGAGATCTCTCTATGAATCACTGAGATTGCCAGGCCCCCTCTTCTCTGGCGGCTTGCTGGGAGGACTGGGACAGTGCTGGTGGGGATGGACAGTGGCAGGGTGGTGACAGGGCAGCAGGATGGGTGGCCGAGCTTGTAGCATGCTCAAGCACTTCCAGCTCTGGGATTTCCTCTTTTTGCAGGCTGACCAAGCTGCCTGGATGGTGTTGGGGTGCCTTAGGACACCCACCTAGCCAGGGAGGCAGCTGCAGGGAGATGACCCAAACCGAGGGACAAATTCATACACTGTGTGCAGGAGGTGGAAAAATCTCAACCTCCCTGCACAACCTCAGCAATGCGTGCTCTGCATGGATTGCGTCGGAATCGGGAGCATCTGGGGTCCCTAGCAATGGGCCAGGGTTGTGCCGTGGACACCAAGGTGGCTCCGTCCTCGGAAACCTTGTGATGGAAGTACGCAAGGGGAGGGGGGGTAGGGAAGGAGGCGATGCTATTAGCTGGGAGGGTTCGTTAGCGATGCCGATACTATGCTGTTGGGTCTTTGTAGGCATCATGACAAATGAGATTTTTTAAGGAGGGATTTGAAGGAAGATAATGAGGTAACTTGGCAGATGTTTATGGAGAGCTCCTCCCAAGCGTGTAATAATCTAGTTTTCTCATGTAAAAAGAAATGATACAAGCCAGGACATATCTCAGGGACCCATGCATTCACTCTGCATCGTCAAGGAGCCTCAATGACAGCGAAGAATTATTAATGGCAATAACATTGTCATATAGTTCCCACTAATGGTCAGAAATAATTGTGAGCAGCAGTAGCAACATCATATAGTTGATGCTTTGGATATTACGAACAAAGCATTTCAATATATAGATTTGGCTTCTACAAGAAAATAATTACAGGAAAGTAGTTTCTCATGAGCTCTAAGATTTAGAGATGAATCCTGGAGGATCAAGCAGAGAACGGGGCTGCGTGGGTGCGACTTTGGTGGCTGTGATTGAAGAAGGGAGGGGATTCCTTGAGCCTCTTTGCGAGCAGCCGTGTGTGTTGGAGGGACAGTTTCCATGGGTGTAGCCCAGGCAAAGCCTTCGGGGGCTCAGTTTTATACACCTGAAAGAAGGCTGACCTTCAGAGAGCAGGGAACAAAACCAGTGGCTGTGTCATGCTCTGGTGGGTTTCCAGCAGCAGCTGCTGGGAAAGTTGCTGAAGGCTCGTGGAAGCCCGCGGCTCGGGGCTGCAGGCTGCGGGGTTTCTGTGTCAAGAGGAAATACAGCTTTTAGGGGTAACTGGAGAACAAAGCATGTTCCCAAACCAGATATTAAAAGACCCTTGGGATTTCCAACTCAACGTCAAGTTTTAGAATCAGTCCCAGGAGCAGAGGTGAGAGCTGCGTACCCCGCACACCCCGGCCGTCACCTGCCCTTCGGGTATGCCACTCACTAGTGACACAGACACCATCAAAACCTTTTGGTGTTTTGCTGTTTTCAGACTGGAACAAACTGCTTCTGAAGACTCATTAGACGCTTTTTGCTCTTAGCTTTGTTGTAACGAGGTGTGTACAACAACACTGTACAACAAAGGCTGCAGTGAGAGACTAAAAGTTACTAAACACAGTCATTCTGATGATTCTTCCTGTCTGAGGTGTAAATAGATAAAAGATACCGATGTGTTGTAATGGGGGGAAAAAATAAATCCCTCTGGGAAGGAAAAAGCTGGGGGAGTTGTAGTTTGAACCCCCTTCTCCCTTGAGCTGCGCATTATACTCTGTAAAGACTTTTCTAGAGGCTGCTTTTGTTTGTGCGTGTTGCAGGGGTGTAATTACAAAGCCAGTGTGCAGGTTGTGTGTCTGAGCGATAACACGTTTCCTGGGTTGTTGGAGGGATACAGCAATGTGCCCCTGAGATGTTATGTTATCTCCCAGCTGCACACTTTGAGTCTGTTGCTTAATCATCACCTGCTTTTTTTTTTTTTGCTGTCTGTCTTTTAGTGTTTTTAATCTGGGATAATATCTCTTTGAAAAGCAAACCTCTCGGTATAAAAGAAAACCTTTGGATAAAAGACTGCTTAAAGGAGCTGGCTCCACTCAGGGAGACACGCTGTGGGTTGTAATTTAGCTCGGTGTAGCGTATTAGCTGTGATTTGATATGTCGCTTTCTTGTTTTGCAGCTCATTTCAACAGCAACGACAGCAGTTTGTGCACGCTCTCCCGGGAGCTGGCTCGCTCCCTGTTTGTGTGTGTTTGTGTTTAGAGGAAGGTTTTAAGAGAATTGCAAGACGCTGAGTCATATCTCAGCTTTTCCTAGGCGCTGGTCCAACCCAAGTGCCTAATTATCCCACATGCTCAAACTAAAGATGGGTTGCCTAATTGCATCCGACCTGGCGCTGTCCCACCGGTGTCAGGTCCGAGGCTTTTAGGTCCTGCCAGGGTGTGGGGGAGAGCAGCAGACCTGCTTGGTTCGTCTCTTTGCCTTTTGCTGAACCAAATGAACCAGAAGCTTGCAGCCAAATGCACCTCGTGGGACCAGCCTTGCCTGTAACCCTGCATGAGAATCGATTCACGCACCTGCTCCCTTTTCACAGTTTCCTCTTTAATATTGTTGGGCAAAAACCTTTGGGGACTCACCTGGCTCTGAGTCTTGCTGAAAAAATTCTCGATACTCATTTATTGCCTGTTGAAGGTGTTTCTTTTGTGAGTTCATGCTGCAGAAACCCAGCCCGGGATGACTTTGGGGTTTCGGGCAGGTGAGAGCGTGGGACGAGGGAGGGCTGGTGTCTCCCATGGCACTGGGGCACCCCAGCCCTGGCTCCTGTGTCCTCCAGCATTCAGCGTTCCTGATAACGGCCGTGGGCTCTGTAGACTTTTCCCACCCGGCTCAGCCTGGCAAACACAACTATGTTTTCTTTAGGGGCGTAGAGGAGGTGCGGTCCGCTCCCCAGGACCACCTGGGCATTGTTGGATAAGAAATATTCTGCTGGTGGTGGTTCCTCTGGTGCCACGCTGGTCTTTGCTCCTTTCTTTGTGTGGCAACGGGCAGTTCCCACCTTTAGTTCTGGGAACTTCATCAGGATCTGGGGGGATTTGGGCAGGATTTGGGGTGTGGAGCACTGAGCAGTGGATGTTCCTGCAGTTGCTTCTTGGCTAATGTCCGTGATGTGGATACTTGCAGTAGCATCAGGTGGTTCAATTTCTCTGGCAGGTCTATTTCCCAGAAAGCTCACGGAGGTGGCAAAATACTTTGCAATAGAGAACATAAGTCATTGCAGCTGGCAGATGGGTTTTTTAATAGAGCAACAGGTCTATTGCATTCTAGTTCCTTGCACTTGCCCTCCAGTGAAGATCAATACAGACAGATGGAGAACAAAAGGCAGGATTAAAATTGAACCTGCTGGCATCTTCAGTAGGATTTCTCTTTGCAAGTCTTCCCTGGAATGGCAAAGACCAAATGTTCACAAACACCTCCAAGTGCAAATACTGATTGCATCCTTCATGTGGTCCTTTGATTAGGAAGGACGAAGGTGAGCTGGGGAGCCACTGTTCTGCTCCTGTCTCTGCTTCTGGATTTCTTTGTCGTTACTTTGCATCCAGAGCTTCAGGTTATGAGCACAGGGCTGATTATCATGCTGAAGTGATCATCAGCTCAGGTCTAGTGGATATTCTCGTTTTCAGCAACGAGCTGAAGGAGCAGAAGCACCACTGTGACCCTGTGCAAGGCAGAGGTGGGGAGAGTGGCAGCAGGTTGGCTGGACTGTGAGACGCTTTCTCCCCAGTGGTAGTTTGCACGAAGTCCTGGAAACAGCGGATCCGAAGGCCAGGTTGCCAGTCTGTGTGAAAGCTGAACTCCCTTAAGTGAGAGTATCTGCTGCTGGCCATTAGTGGAAGTCATTTAACTCCTGGCATATTACTGCAGACCTTCTAACCTTCCTGTTACAGCTCTGGGATGTGCTGCAAAGACACAGCAGTTGGGGATGAAACATTTCTTAAGTTGATATGACAGATGAAAAGCCTTGCTGCTACTGACCTTAGTGCAGGAGCTCTCTGCATCCTCAGCCCGGAGCCCTGACATTGCACGTCGGAGCCGCCGCGAGTTGTTGTGCTGTGACGCTAATGGCACTCGATGAAGTGACTGCTGAGTGAAGGCAAATGCAGGGTAAAATTCAGAATCCCTTCAAATGATTTGGATTAAGATAAGATTTGCGAGTGAGTTATGATTCCCAGCCTGCTGGAGTTCCCGTGGAGAGAGCTCAGCACAGCGGGTCCCACGGGATCGGTGGCCGCAGGACGAGGGATGCTCTGGGAGCGCGGCCGTGCCGGCTCTGGCGTTTCCACTCCTGCTTTTTGACACGGGCACGTCAGGGCTGCCCATTGGTGAGGGGAGACCTGGGCCAAGGCTCGCTTGGTACCCAAATGGGAGTTTAGTGGAGCATTCCCAGAGACTGGCATTTCCCTTTTGATACCTGATATTGGATTTTCCACAGCTGTGCTTCTGGATACGCTGAGAAATTAAATACAAAGCCCACCCCATCCCCGTGCCCGCTGTCTGGGCACCCAGTTGAGTGCCAAGTACGTATCTTATCACACCAAAATAGCGCTCAGCAGCCGCTCTGCATCACGCCCTCTTCCCGCAGAGCTGCAAACCAGCTCAGAGGGTGAGAGGCTGGCAAAGGCCAGCACAGATGCGCAGCCGTCCTCTCCGTTGGGGCTCACGCAGGCACGTAAGAAAAGTGAAATCTCGCCCAAATGTGTGCTGTGGGCTGAGCAGCCTGGGAAGGAAGGCAGGGAGCAAAGCCTGGAGATCTGTGCGAGGTGGAGAGAGGGCTGGAACCCCATTGCCCATGTCTGGTTCATGCTTTTGTCTCTCCGAGTGTTTCTCCACGTGGGTAGCAGCCCGTTAGGGATGCTGGCAGCGTGGGGTGTGGGTGGGGGGGATGCTCTGGCCTCTGCGGATGAACGGGGGGTGGGTTAGGATGATGCTGATCATGAGCATCTTCTACCCTGGTTCTCCATGGTCATGTCTTGCTTTTTGGGTGTGCTGTGCTGGCCTTCATGCTCTCAGCAGAGCCGTTCCTCACCTCCGGATCCAGCATCCTTTCAGAGAGGAGGATGCAGCCGTGGCTCCCTGGGGAGTTTCTGACGAGCTGCCGGTTACACGGCGCGGTGGGTGCGGGAATCTCTCGGGCTTCACCCTTCGCTGCGTTTGAGCCGTGACATTGCAATTCTTCCCTGTTCCACTGCAGCTGTGCTCTCCTTTGAGCTGCTCAGACAATTCCCATGAAGATTATTCCTGTCTTCCTTCAACTGAGATGGAAACTCCAATTTTAAAGTTGTTTTAGTTGTTCATTCTAGCCCGTGATGCCGCGGTCTGCAGCATTACTCACCTTCTGACAAAAACACGTGCGGTGCTGGTGCTATGCTAGCAGGGTTTCATCTGTCAAAAAATCTGTGCCTCCGTCTCCTTAAAACCACTGGGGAAGAGTTGTTGTCTCCGTAAAATATTGGTTTTTCTCTGAGTGGCTCAGCATGAAATGGAAGTTGCTGAGTTCTGTATGTATGGGATGCAGATGCTTTGAATTGAGGAAGGGGCTCGTTTGCTTTATTCTTTTTATTCCCACTTCAGCATAAAAGAGAAATGAGACTTTGGGGAAATTGATATGTGAGGGGAACCATCCCAGAAAGGCAGTCTGAAGCAGGCATGTTTTATGTGCTTAGAAGAAGGCGTGGAAGGGAAGGAACAGATAATCCCTTTCCCTTTGATGATTTCCTGGGCTAAGCCCAGCAGATGGGACGTGCTGTTTACTCTTTTGCTCTCCTGTGATGTGTTTTGCTCGTGTAGGAACCTACTTGTGCTCCTATGTCTCAAGTATTTTATCTGTGGATTATTATTGGTGATCATTTTTCTTTTTTTTCCTCTTCCCCACCCCCCCTCCCTGGAGAGGAGGGAGTATGTGCGAAGGGCAGTAGACTATAGTTCGGGGTCATGGACCACATCGTGCGTTTATGATGTCCTGCAGCCTCAGAGGGATAAAAGATATTCTCAGGAGCTGCTTTATGGTGTTAACAGCCCATGTTGGTACACAGGGATATTACTCAGTTTTTACAGAGTGGTTCTCACCAGTAGATCTTCGTGCATTTAACTGTTACACCAGGGAGTAAAAAGACCAAGGTTTCTGTCTTAGCACTAGCACATTTCCAAATTGTTGAAAAAACATATTTACACCTTATTGTAACCTTTCGTATGCTCCCACATTCAAAGTCTGTGTGTCTTTTATACTCAATACTTGTACCTATCAAAAAGTCCAATGCTGGTAGTGACTGCAGGCTGACAGATCCTTTGTGTTCTCGCCGTAGCACATTTACGGGCTTAGACAACGTAATTGAATGATCTGCAGTTCCCAATGAACAGAAGATGGGTGGTATGAGCATCTTCTGAATGAAGCCAAAAATCTCTTTCATCTTATCATAAAAGCTGGGGGAATTTCAACTTTTCTAGTGGCGAAGCTTAGAAAACACCCAGCAAATGCCAAGACTTGTAGCAGTGAGGCTGAATAAAAAGGATAGTGAAGCTCGTACACAGTTTGATGTAGTCTAAGTTACTTCAGAGGGGTTTTGCAGCATTTCTAGCGATAGATTCAGCTAAAAATCTCCATCAGAAAGAGCTGCTAGTGCTTGGTATCCACAGGTGACTTGCTTTTTTTTTTTAATCTCTTAGTGGGGTGATACCCAGGTATTTCAAGGCAATCTAGCTGGCCCCTTGCTGCCCTTTGCCTCTAAAGATGGCATTTGGGCTCCTTAGCTGTCCAACATCAATGTTTTTGGCAACCCTGAATTTCTTTGGTAGGGGTTGTGGTCAGTACACCCTCAGGCAGTCTTTTGCAAGTCAGCCTTGATTGACCCTAAATGATTGTGTCCCTTCCAGTGGTATTCAGAGACATGTGGCTCCAGCAAGTTCTGCTTGTATTCATGAACAGAGTGGGTTTATTTTGGGTGAAAACTCTTGCACCTTTTCAATGGCTTCTCTGGCATCTCTTCTCTAGAGGAACTGAAGGCGCCGCTGGAAGAATACGTCAATAAACGATACCCAGGGCTGGTGAAGGTGGTGCGCAACCAGAAGAGGGAAGGTCTCATCCGGGCTCGTATTGAAGGCTGGAAAGCTGCCACTGGCCAGATCACAGGATTTTTCGATGCCCATGTGGAGTTCACTGCTGGCTGGTAGGTGCTCAAGGTCTCGGTTAGTGTGTGTGTGTGCGTGTGATGCATTAAACAAGGGACAGCCCATCAAGCTGTAAGGATGGGTTTGCAAACAAGTCCCCTGGTTTATCAATCCTGTCTTCCTTCTGTACGGAGTGGCCACTCATGAGATACAGTGGGAGGCTACAAGGAAAATCTGTCCTTGCCCTTCTTTCCTAGAATCATTTTCTATTCCCTCCTTTTATCCCCCCCACCCTTGTTTGTATTTTTCAGGTTGATTTCCCATTCCCTTAGCCCTAAATAATTTCTGTACATTTCAAAAAGCCCAGGCAGCAAGGGATTGAAGGAGAAAATGTTTCCCACTTCCTTGCCCTTTGCAGCTGGATCCCCCTGGGGAAGGCTTAGCTGTTGGAGATTGATTTGTTTCTTCTGCAGCTGGGAATAAGTGCAGAGGTGCAGAAGCAGTGAAAAGTGTTTCATAAAGATTTTTCCAGAGAGATTCAAAACATTTGAGTTCAAGTGGCTTAAGTTTGAGTCTAGATCATGAGCGAGTTGTTTTTTTTCTAACCGAGTGTCAGAAGTAAATGGTCCATGTTTAGAAAAGTGGAGGTAGAAGAAGCTAACTTGCATCTAATTTGAACAGAGAGTAACATCCACAAGAAAAATGCTTTAGCAGCTGCAACCGAGAACTTCTGCGCAGTTATTGAATTCTTTGTAATGACAATGCAGCTGAAGGGTGTCTTTAAGAGCTCTTTCTTATGTTGATATCTGTATTCCCAGCTAAACATTCTTCTCTTCAGGTCATCAAGTCTTCACACCTGATTTTATTGATGTACAGAGGAAGCTCCCATTTACTGAGCTCTTGAAACAGTTTTTCTAGGGATAGGGAGGGAGCTTTTCTGCAGGGTGGGCTCAACACTCTGGTGTTATGTACCTGCTGCTGTCGCTGGAGGCACCAAGGTTGCAGGTTGCTCCTTGTGTTGGCAGCCTGAGCCCGGGTCCATCGATAGCTCTGGGGCTGCAGAGGTGAGGCTGTGCACACCCCCTGCTCTGGGCACACCTGAATGTCCCAGGGCTGAGTGTTTTGTAGCTATAAGAGTCTGTATGTGTCGTTCCTCAAACTGGGTTGCCTTGCCTGGGGACATGGTTTTTTGGATTTGTGCAAAGTTCAGGCTAGGTAAAGCTTGGTTTAAACAAAATACTTCAAGGAGGCTTATAAGAAAGATGGGGACAGACTTTTTAGCAGGGCCTGCTGCTACAGGACAGGGATAATGATTTTAAACTGAAAGAGGAGAGGTTTAGACTAGATATAACAAAGAAATTTTCCATCATGAGGGTGGTGAGGCAGTGGCCCAGGGTGCCTAGAGCAGCTGTGGATGCCCCATCCCTGGAGGGGTTCAAGGCCAGGCTGGATGAGGCTTTGGGCAACCTGGGCTAGTGGGAGGTGTCCCTGCCCATAGCAGGGGGGTGGGGCTACATGATTTTTAAAGGTCCCTTCCAGCACAAACTATTCCATGATTCTATGGGAACATTCAAAATACATCCTTCATGGCCTTGCTTTACAGAAGGGAAGTTTTCAAGCCGGGCTTCCCAGGTTTCCCCAGCAAAATGTCATGTATCATGTTTTCATGCAGGATTTCCACCCAGCTTAAAAACGTGAGCATTTTGAAAATTAAAAAGTTCAGAATATGGAATTATTATTAAATAATGCTTTTTTAAACCAGCACACTAGAGAAAACATGGAAAAGATAAGGTCCAGTTTCAGAGGCTTTCATTCATTTCCACAGCTTAACGCTTTAGTTTGTGAAAATAGCCCTTTCCTTATTCTGAAAGCTTGAGCTGGTCCATGAATTTGTGTGGCCGGTTGTGTAGGAGACCATTAAAACTGCCCGAACCCCCGGGGCTGCAGCTCCTTGAGCTCCATGCGCGGCGGCTGACCCCGCGCTCCGGTGGCAGCTCCACTCAAGGACGTGTCCGGGTGGGAAATCCCATCAAGTGGAAGCACTGAAGCCTCTTGCAGCATCTCCCTTGCGCCTGACAAAGCTTGGCAAGCCTTTCCAAAATAACCTTTTAAACTTGGCAGCACAAATGCTTCGCCTGTCTGTGCGGTTGGTGTGCCGATAGAAGCACGGACGAGCGGGAGGGTGAGACGGGCCGGTGCGTTGCAATCTGGGGTCACTCGCTGGCTCTGTGAGGAGCCTCATCACAGTCTCTGGGCTCCTCTGGCTGGGTTTTGCTGTGTCCCTGCAAAGACATGCTGCCTTTTGTGGATGGGAGAATCCATGTTACTCCCTTCCTTTTACTGAATGGGGACAAGAATGCCTGTTTTCTTACTCTCCCTTTAGTGCACAAGCTGTACAAAAGCTAGTGTCCACCTGCAAATGATGGGAGAAATTAACTGTCTCTTCCTGCACTGTGCTTCTTTCTACCACTCAGGGCTGAGCCGGTGCTTTCACGGATTCAGGAAAATCGGAGAAGAGTCATTCTTCCCTCCATAGACAACATCAAGCAGGACAACTTTGAGGTGCAGCGGTACGAGAACTCTGCCCACGGGTACAGCTGGGAGCTGTGGTGCATGTACATCAGCCCCCCCAAGGACTGGTGGGATGCTGGAGACCCCTCGCTGCCCATCAGGTACGTCACAGAGCCCGGGGGCTGTTCGCTCTCCATCGCTACGGTGCAATGAAGCTGAAAGAGGGGAGATTTAGACTGGATATTAGGAGTCAGTTTTTTCCTGTGCAGGGGGGTGAGGCAGTGGCCCAGGTTGCCCAGAGCAGCTGTGGATGCCCCATCCCTGGAGGGGTTCAAGGCCAGGCTGGATGAGGCTTTGGGCAACCTGGGCTAGTGGGAGGTGTCCCTGCCCATGGCAGGGGGTGGCACTGGATGGGCTTTAAGGTCCCTTCCAACCCAAACCATCCTGTGATTCTATAATGAGGCAGAATGCAGAAAGTGAGGAAGCTGGCTTAGGGAGTTGGATATCGTATCATAACCTGAGCCGGCTCAGAGAGGCAGTGACACAAGCCAGGCAGGGTTTTGTTAGGCTGTAGGGATTTGGAAAGCAGTATTGTTTGATAACAATATGCAAAAACACAAGGGAAGTATAGGAACTGTGTAGGTTTGTACGGTCTTATGTTTAACTGCATGTGACAAAGTCGCTTTACCTTAATTACAGCATTAAGTTTTTGCAAGTCATAAGGAATGAGGTGATTATTCCTGCGTAATGAACTGAGCGTGAATTCATGAAACACAGCGCTGGTTTTTTCTTGAATAAAAAATACATCTCCTCCCAAGGCAAACCTTGTAAAAACGTATCTTGGGTTGTTCTAACACTTCAGCTTATGGGGTGGGCAGCTCTGAAATGTTGCCCCAGCCCCTCCAGACTGCAGGTATGGGACAAGCCCGTTTGGACAAAAAGCAGGAGGGGAGGGAATAAGTCAGTGTGGGTGGGAGACTCTGTATGCAGAGGTCAGGGATTTTCCCTCGGCAGCCCCTAAAGACCCGAATTGGTGCTGTGATCAGGAGTGGTTTTCTGGCCAGGTGAAGGGGATATATTGGTGCTAACGTGGTTAATAGGGAGAAGGCTTGTCCTCAGGCATATAACAGATGCGTGTGTGCAAATCCACACCTGGTCTGAATCCTGAACCAAAATATCTGTGCTTTGGTCAGTGGTACAATCTCTGGAAGCTGAAATTAGGTCTGTTCCCATTTACACAGAGACTTCTTTTGTTCCTGAGGGCTCCCTTGCTCCAGACAGCATTTTCAGCCATCAGTGGAAGAACTGACAGTTTATTCTGTACAGGAATCCAGTCTTTGGGCAATAAACAGTTATTTTAACTAAATGCAAGCTGCTGGACTTGTTAAAGGAGGGGCTGAACGGCTGGAGGATACAGAAGGTGAAGCTGAGGAATTCAGAAGCCTTTGCAAGAGAGGCGTGAGCAGGGTGGTGCTGGCAGCGCCTACGGTACTTAGGTACTGCTGAGCTTCGAGTCTGCGCTGCCGGGAGGTTTTATGTATTTCTGATCTACTGCTGTGGAAATGAAGGCTTTGCTGTGGGAGTTGTCTTCTGTTGGGCAGAATGTTGTGTTAGGTTGTTCTGGAGCTTGCTTTATAATTTAGCACCATCCACAGATTTTTTTTTTAAACTGTGGATGGGATATTGAGCATCGTATTTCTGTATTTAAGCAGATTGCAAACTGTTACTGCTTAGGAGGAGCTGGGAGGTGGGAGAGGTTTACCAGTCTGCTCTGGGGTTGCTGCAACCTTTCTGCACCAGTTGCATCCCTTTTTGGAGACAACCTAGCAGCTGGGATGCCCCGTGAGCCCCACAGCGTCTGCAGCCTTGCTGAGCTCTTGAGCACTGCTGAGTTGAGCCACCAGTGAATTAGGGATCAGAGAAGGCAACAGCACGGATGCATGTCGTGATCATCCACTTGGAATTTGAAGGCATCTGTGATGGGGACCCTGCTTCTTGAGAATTTGGGAAATTGGGCTAAGGGGTGGAAGGGCACCACCTCCAAAGCGTGCTCTGGGAAAGGGCTTTTGCAACGAGCCCAGTAGCCTCCCAGCGATGTTAAATAATTAAACAAGTTGATAAAATAACATTGTTAACATGCACTGGGAGAAGGATTATGAGAAAGATAAATGGGTAGTGTCCACAACAAAAAGCTAATGAAAAATACTGTCTCATTGCATTATGGTGTGTAACCACATGCAGACCAGAAATAAATGACTCTGGTTATTTTTTTGTCGTATAATTCTATGAAAGCTAGGCACTTCATAGCAATATTTGCATGAAACGGATACCAGTGCAGTGCTCCATGTAATTATATGCATGGAATTAGAGGAAATTCTAAATTTATGGTATACAGAGGTACATTAGGTTTTTAGAGACTTCTTAGGATAAAATAGTGGGAGTGAAGTAAAGCAATTTATTCCTATATTTGGTTTTAGTCTCTCGATGCAAAGGGATTGTGGCAGCCCCACGAGAAGCTCCCCTGCCCACAAAAAGTGCTCCAGCATGCCTGTGAGCCCCGGTGTGTCAGCCCCGAGCAAATGCTCAGCCGTGGAGACTGGAGACAGACAGCTGTGTGAAAATGTTCGCAGGCAATTTTCTCTCATGGATAATTCACAAGATATAATTATCCAGGCAAAGAGAGCTGATGGCATGAAACCCATCTAAAATATGGCCCAGTCTCAAACTGTCTCCAGGCTTCTGCTTTATCTCCTACAAGAAAAATGCCTAGGAGGGATGCTGGTGTAATACCTGGATTCTGTAATACATCATCTTTTGTAATTTTTTTTTTTTTTGCATTAACATTTAAAATCCTGATGCACAAGGACCCTCAGTCTTAGCACTTGGTTATGCATGTGTTTCCTTGCCAGGCTTCCTCTGACTACCTCTGCCCAAAAGATAAAATTGTGATTACAGCGTAATGTATCACGTCTAAATTAGTTCTCGCAGAAGAGGCAGACAGTAAGTGACATTTGAAACGGTCATCATATAGATCCTGCTCTTCATTGGCACGAGCTTTTGCAGAGATGTTTTGATTTCCCAGTTCAAATGGTTCTAATGTGTGTGTATAAATGAATACATGCTCACGTTACATACCTGGACATCCTTTGCTCTAGGGGATGTAGCCAGGATTTATCCAGCCCTTTGTTATTAATGGTGTACATTGATCAGAGTTTACGGAGAGTCTGGAAAAGATGTGTGTCAAGAAAAACGGAAGAAAGCTGACGCTTTCTTTATCCTGTGGGAAGTCCAAAAAAGTCTTTGGAAATGCTGTGAAATGGCAGAGTGATGACCTGATGTGGAGTTGGGGTATCCCAGGGTGCCATCTCGCCATCTCCGTTTCCCACCTGGCAGAGCGTGAGGTTTCTGGGGCTTCTTGGGGTCTGGAGCACCGGTGGGCTGTGAACCTCAGTGCCAGCGATTTCCTCTGCCTGACTTATTTAGTTCATGCTGCATCAGGTTTTGTCAAAAAGCAGCTTTGGAGAAATTGCTGATATCTGGAAGATTTATGGCTAGATGTGCTGATTGCGCTTCAGTTGCAAGACTCATGATTTATAATTACATATGTGAGATACTGATGGCTCCAGGGGTCTGATTCAGGAAAACAATTAAATGCACTCGTGCATCTGTGTCTCTTGGAGAAGCCAAGCAAACAGATACAGCATATTAAGCAGCCTTGAGGACGAGGGACATTTACCTGAGCGTGGAAATTGGGGTCGTTGCGCTTTTCTGCTGGCAGTAGTTCGTGTATCCCACCAGAGAGAAAAGAAACTTGAATCTTTGCTGCTCGGTTGGTGAGTCCATCAGCAGTGCTGTGACCCCGCTGTTGGCAGACGATAGGTGATTTAGAATATAATGCGTTTCCTAACTATTGCTTTGTATTTTTCACACTTGGCTGGGCGGGTGGGTTGAGTCCAGGAGGCAGAAGCACTGCTAAATAGCTCCAGTAGTTAGCAACCCTCCGTAATGTGCCGGGGTGACTTCAGAAGTGACAGAGAAGCTTCTTCCCAAGCATGCAGTGCACAGTGTGCCAACTGGGAACCAGCTAGCAGGTGACATTGGACTTTGGACGGGGCTTTGCTGCAGCTGTTTTATGTGGTACTTCATCTTTACGGGTGTTGGAAGACAAAGGCTCATTTAATTAGTATTGAAATCACTGTGAGGAGGAAATTGGTTTTGAGAGTTATGGATGGTAAAGAATAGAAAGGCTGTGTCCTGGTGTCAGCTGGGACAGAGTTAACTTTCTTCTCAATAGCTAGCAAGAGGCTGTGTTTGGATCTGTACTGAGAAGGTGGCTGATATCATGCTGATGTTTACAGCTGCTGCCAGGAGAGTCCAGGGCTTTCCAGCTTCTCTGCTGTGCCCGTGTCTGCCCCAGTGACCAGCTGGGGATTTGATCTTAAGTTCAGGATTGAGCCCCAGACTGGCTGATGGTCTGTTCCATATCGAGCACAGCATGCCCAGGATAGAGATGAGGCTCTGAATGTTTTTTAAAGTAGTGCTTCCTGACTTGAACTAGCATCGACAAACCGCAGGAAAATTCCCGTTCCTGTATGCAGACAGTTGTAAGATGTTCTCACTCTTCTGGCATAGCTGCTTTGGAAGCCAAGGGGAAAGCTGATTTCCATGGGAGCCAGACGTGGGGTGATGATGAGAGCTTGCATTTGGAAACCTCACCTGCTATGTCTGAGAAGATACTTGTGTGCAGGTGTTTGCTTAAGGGGAAGTGTGTGAATGTCGCAACAGCTGCAGAACAGTTACAGAGCTCTTTAAAGCCTTCATATAAAATTTAAATCAAACACAAAGCTAAAGTAATGGTACTGGTGATCCATCTCAGTCTCCAAAGCCCTTTTTCTTAAGCAGCTCAAAGAAAGTGAAGTTCTGTGGTGTCCACCCTTGCGGTCTGATTCTCCTCCAAACCCTGTACTTGTTGCTGTTGTGTGGCCAGGGGGTCAGCATCCTACTGTCAGGTTCACAGGAAAGATCCCCATGGCCTCCAAATACATTGGGCCAGGTCAGCATGGGAACGGTACGGATATTCATCCACAGGCAAGGTGGTGTTAGTGCTCCTGGAGAGAGCTTCTACAAGCATCGTCTCGTGTAAACATCTGGATAAGTCAAA